CAAATTTTAAAGATCAGATACACTGAAAATAACCGTATTATCCATTGTGCTCTTCGGTCTAATGCTTTCTTGCACAGACTATCATTTAGCATGTAGGTGCAGAATTTCTTCTTTTCAGATGAAACTATTTCCTGTTGCTACACAGCCGGCGCATAAAAGCTTCCCACTCTTTCTTCTCTTTCATTTTTATTCCTAACATGACAAAATACAGCATGACTTTTATTACAAATCTCACGATTCATGATCCATCCTTGCAGCGATAAACCTCTGACAGAGTTTAATGATGTGATTACATTTTGAACAGTGAAATACAAAAAAGTGTTGGTTTCCACAGAAAACAAACCTACACTTTACAGAATTATAATTATGAAAAACCACATTACACATGATTTATTTCTTATTTATTTATTTCATAAATGATACCATAACCAAAGTGACTTTTTAATTTCATCATGTACACTCAATAATGCCAATTTGTGGCTCAGCATGTAACAGCACATCTACAGATTCACAGATATATCAACTAATTACTGACACTGACCGATGCTGGGTTGACGAGCTGAAATACTTGTGAGAAAAACCTTGCTCACATTTATTATGTAGACCTGTGTGTTTTCCTGGGACAAATATGGAAACAAATAGGAAAGTAAAACATATTTTTGCTGTTGGAATCAGCTCTCGTACAAATTCTTAAACATCAGTGATCTTCTTGATTGCATAATTAAATTCCTGTAAACAGTAGCTGCTGCAGAGGTATAGAAAATGCTCATCTTTCAACACAAGATGCACGGCCACATCACACACTTATCCTGCCATTTTTTGGAACCCATTTCCAACATATTTGCCTTGGCAGCATATTCTTTGAGTGCGTCCAGTCCCCTCATCATTTCCAAAAGTCATTACACGTCGGCGGGAGGATTGGCACCCCTATACAGGCAGAAGCCGAGGAGGAACAAGAAGACGCCCAGGAAAATAAACCCAACTGAGATATTAACCAAAGTGTTTATCCAGAAGGCAAACAGGTAAAGGGTCTTGTTGCAGTAGGGGTCCACGTTTGTTGTGTTTTTGTCATAGTTGGGCTGATAAATAGAGTAGATCCATACAAAAAAAATTTTTTTTAATTTAATTTAATGTTACAACATGTATTAATTCTCACCCCGGTATACTTTTATGCTCATGGGCACAGTTGTTGACAAGGTGTAATCTGGATAAAAAGGGTCTGGAGCCTGATAATGATAAGATAAGTGTATTTAATTGATGGATTGAAGTTTGATAATAAACAGCTATTTTGTGGAATATTTAATTAGCAAGAAATTCGCTATTTTATCCACAATCAAGTTTACCTCACCTACTTTATCATGACTCAGAAGCACTGTACTGCATGACCTAAATAACTGCACTACCACAAAAGCCACAATTAAGACAGATACAGTCAGCTACTGCTGGTGATGTTAGCTAGCAAAAGAGACAATTGAAAAGATGATTGAAAACATCAGCTGACACATTTTCTGCACTTTTTGGCTCTGACAGAAAGCAGCAAACACTGAGAGCCTATGGATAGATTTAAGTCTTTAATGAGTTAAGGTTTATCTACTGTGATCACCTTTAACATTCTTAATTCATAACCTTTTTTAAAATAATGTCTTGTCTTGATCTTATTAGACCTTCTAGATTACTTTAACCTGTTAGCAGTCGGACGTACCGCCCACGGTACATTGGATGGTTTAGGGGACTAATTGGACTGCTAAGGGGTTAACCATTAATTAATCTATGTCCTACACCACCATCGCTTTCTAATGTAACTTTACTAAATTTTTCTTTTTGTCCTTCCTTCCTTTATCCCTTCTTGTGAGGCGTTTGGATGCCCCTACCCAGGCAATATTAGTACTAGAGGGCGACAATGCTATTGATGTGTTAGACAATGAGGAAGCTGAGGAGCATTTTCTCAGAGACTTTTGCACAATCTTATTTATTTTTAGAACCAGAGTAGTCACGTCACAGTGGTCACATGCAGATTTAAGGCACTTCTGCTTTGACTAAACTTTTAAGAACTGGAAGCTACATCCATCATTCATATACAGATTGTGATCTGCTCTTCCCTCTGCCAAGATTAATGACTATTGATCTTTTGACTAATGAGAATAGAGAGCATATTGATCAATCAGACACTCAACCCTAAAGACTACAGTCCTAATTTACATCCTTGTTTTTGTTGTGGCTAGCTTCTTTCACGCTGTGCTATTAATATGTATTAATGAGCCACAAGTTTTAATGATTAGACAGGGAATCCTGCACCCTGGGTACATAAGACTCAATGTCTGCTATGATGAATCTGATTCACATGAAGGAGGGACAGCACTTTACACAGTATCATATTTTTTGTGGCCTTTTAGAGCTTCATGCAGCTGAAACGAATGTGGTCTATAATAGAAACACACTGCGCACTGTAAACATTGCCTAGAAGGAGTCCTGTTCTGTTTGTGGTGCTGAGAGCCGTTAATGTTTAATCTCTTTGGTGTGAATTTATGCCGGTGGTTTGTCTGATGTCCACGACTGTATTTACACAATTTTAACAGGCAGCTAACCAGAAACAGGTCACTTCCTTGACTTTTTAACTCACCAGCGATAAACCAGCAGAAGACAAAGAACATTGCCAGTAAGTTCCAGGCTTTGTAGATTGTGCTCAGAGGGTTGGAGGTGCCTTCTTCGGGCTCTTTGGCACAGGGAAAGCAGGAGAGCAACACGAACAACAGGCTTGAGAGTCCTAACACTATCAGATAGATGGGGATGTAGTGCTGGCGCGGACACTCATGAAGGTATATTGCCCCTGGTGGACACAAGGAGGATGACTCAAAAAGTACAATCAGAGCTGCCTGGAAAACTTCAACACCTTTGAACACTCATTCAAGTAAGTAAGTATGGAGCTCACCAATTGCAATCTGAGCAATGGGCATGATGCAAAATATCGCGCTAAAGATCGCTGCAAAAAAATCAAACACTGAACTCAGTTTCTTCAAATGATATTTACAGAAATGAAGCTATGACATCAGTGTTCATGATGTTAAAATCGCTAGATTTTACCTAGTGCGGTTGCTGGGGGTTTTGGACGGTTCCTGATGCGTCCCAGAAGGTTACTGCTCTCCATTTTTCTCACCTGCAGAAGAAGATAAAGAATTGAGTTGGAAGTCCAACTGAAGGTGTGCAAAGCAATCTTGAGCAGCCAGTAGAGGCTGGAATTGCCCACCCCTGCTGTAGGCAGTCCAGACCGAAGTTTTGTGGCAAGCAAGTTATCACAACATTTCCATGAACCAACAAAGGAACAATGGGTAACTGTGAAGCATGTATTAAGATATCTCAGATGGTCCAAGGATAAGAAGTTGTGTTTTAGGAGAAACAATGAAAATTTAGGTCTAGTAGCCTACAGTAATGCTGTGTGAACCTATGTAAGAACAGTTCTCTAGTTTCATGGAAGACAAAAAAACAGCCCACTGTGGCGCTCTCTACCTGTGAAGCAGAATATGTGGCTCTGGCTTCTACAATACAAGAGTTTATATATTTAGGGCAGCTTTTGAAAGGTATAGATAGCTAAAAACCTGTGAATCATCAGAGGTGCAAAGATGTGGACATTAAATATCATTTTGTAAGGCCCATTGTAAATGGACGAAAATGTGCCTGTTATATTGCACTACTGAAGAAATGGTTGCAGATGTTATGACCAAACCTGTGTCTAAGCTAAAACTTGGAAAGTTTGCAGACATCATGTTTTGGTGAGTCCACATCTGTATGGTAGTTTACAGGACAATATTCTTTAGATTCCAGCAACCTGAGTACAAGACGGGGTGTTGAGATATTTATCGTGTGTACTGAGTTGTAAATATGTTGGACCGCATTATTTGTTATTGTTGTTTAAAGGAGATGCAGTATTTTAGCTGTCACCACAAGGGGGCAGTTTTCACTGTGAAGGAAAGTATGCTGTGAGTTGATTGCTGTTGATGTTGCACTGCTCAAAATACACTACTGTACAAATAAATGTGTATGATTAATGTGTAAATTAAAAGTAACGTAGGCCTACTCATGAACTAATTTACAAATATAACCCAATAATGAGTCCTAAATATTCAAGAACTTTTACTTTTACTACAAACTTTTTGTTGAAACTTAGTTTGAGTGAAAAAAGTATTGAATTTATGAATTTGAAAGATATAAATACTTAAATACACCAGTCTGAAAAACAGTTACTTAATGCAATTTTAGACTGATTTTAAACTGATGTAAAATGTTTGAGAAAGAAAGAACGACTGACCAAAAGCTACCTAAAACAAATCGGTCAAAGTGAAATAAAATGCAAATAAGGCTGAAACAATGGTCATGGTAGTTTGTGGTCCTTCACTTCTGACAGCAGGAGCTCACACATAGCAGCTGTCCACACACCTGATAATCAAATGCTGTCAAATGAGAGCAGATAAAAGCTAAATGGGCTGTCTGTTCCTTTTAAAAAGTTTGTTGTTTGCATTTAAACAGATTGGGGCTCTTCAAATACCAGCAAAACGTGTATCTGTTCATTGGTTTTGGTGAGTGCTGTGAGGCAGGCAGGGTGAAGGACCCAAATCCAGGAATCAAAGTAAAGTAAAACTCAAAGCTCAGCCTTTATTGCTATAAAAACTCTTCGTAGGAATAAACATTACAAAACTGAACAAAAACCTCAAATGCAGAACTAAAACCTAAACTGGGAACTGGAACCTAGAAACTAAAAGACTCAAGCCAACCAATGCTCAGGACACGGAGGGAGAATACACAGCACAGAGACATTGTCATTCACTGCTTTCTGTCGCACCGTACACGGGCAAAACAAAACAGGAGCACCAAAAGTCAAAACAAAAAAGTCCAAAAACAGTGTCCCAAACAACCCAATTTGGGTGGCTGACCCAGAAGGTTGAGAGCCCAGGAGCCTGGAAAACAGTTCAGGAGGCAGCCCATTGAGCCAACAGTGACAGAGGATCTCAGGAGGCCGACCGCAAAACAGTGGAGGCGACTAGCTGAGACAGACAGCTGGTGTGACCCCTCAGATCCTCCAGCGGAAACAGACGGCTGCATGCAAGCCACTGAGTGCTGGAGCGGGTCACCAGAGCCCCCAGCAGAGACGAGAAAGTGCTGGCGCGGGTCTCCAGAGCCCCCAGTGGGAAACAGACACAGGGCCAGCAGGTATGGAGGCCCCTGGCTGAGACAAAGCTAGCTGAGGCTACGTGGAACACCCAGCCAGCTCTGGACACTTCGCCACAGCGCTGCAGCGAGACAACGTTTATTGCAGGCTGGGTGAGCTCGCCTGAGCTCTCTGTGGAAGCTGCTGCAGACAGCTGAAATGGCCTGGTAGAGCTTTCAGGTGACACAGCTTAAGGAGGCTGAGAGAGTTCAGCTGAGCTCTCAGTCGATGATGGTGGTAGCTGAACCAACTGTACTAGCTCCATATCCTCCAGGGGCCCAGAGTCTGCTGAGGTCTGAAACTCAGCCTCTGGGGAAGCCCTGGAGAGAGTGACAGTCTCCTCCTTCTTGGGACACAGAAATGCTCTTTGTAATTTGTTTCTCTGCTGAGAATGCGCAATTGAAAAACAGCCCTTTACATTCACAGTCTTGGAGTTAACATTCCTGGTCATTAGAACTCTGGGCTCGGCAGGAGCAACATTGAAACAGTCAGTAAAGTCCTGTGAATGGGGACTTCTGTCTGTCTCAGACAGAAGAACCAGTTGTTAACGCCTCTGCAGTTATCTTAGCAGTAAAACAATTACCTTTAGTTCACTGAGGATTTACAGACTCAAGGTTAACAGGCTCAGAAACAGATAACTCTACCTCAGAATATACTGACTTAAAATTTACAGATTTAGTGAAAGAGTATTGGTTCAGACTCAATGTTAGCTTGTTAGTTTGTGATTTTGCCCCTTGTGCAGTGTAGCAAACGTTCTCCAACTGACTGGCACAAACAGAAATCTCAGGTTTTTCAAAATCAGAAAAAAAATCCGATTTCTTGTTCCTTGGGCAGAGAGAAACAGCTTTTAGGTCTTGTGAGGTGAGGTCCTCAGTCACGGTCTTAATTGTTATACATTTTGGAGGGGTAAGGAAAAATTATGTTCTACTCACCACAGCCGTCTGTTCTGAAGAAGTCCCTGGTGTGGGCTGTGGCGGGCAGGATGAAGGACCCAAATGCAGAACTCAGAAACAGAAAGTAAAACTCAAAGCTCAGCTTTTATTGCTGCAAAAACTCTTTGTAGGAATAAACATTACAAGAACAAACCAAAACCTCAAATGCAGAACTAAAAACTAAACTGGGCACTGGACCCTAGAAACTAAGAAACTCGAGCCAGGCAATGCTCAGGACACAAAGGGAGAACACAGCATGGAGACATTGTGTATGACGCGATAGCAAGCAATGAATGACAAAGGACTAAAATACACAGCGGAGTGATTTGGGAAGTGGAGACAGGAGGAAAGCACAGGAAAACAATACCAAAATACAAGAAACTCAAAATGCTGGGTCCAAATGACCCAGAACTGTGACAAATGCTACAAGACAGACTTGAGTCCAATGAGAAAAAAGTGCTGTTAAAAATGACTCACCCTTATGGCTCCCAGTGATGTCACCATTTATTTAATTACACGCACTCATCCTGTACTATGTACTGACAAAGAAAGGAGCGCAGTGCTGTTAAAACTTTGATTTAAATTTTATAGGTTTATTCTTTAAAAAGAAGATGCAAAGAACTACAAGGAGATGCCGGCAAAGAGACAGGACATGCTGGAGAGATTATGGCTCTTAGCTGACTGACATTTCAATGACTTAAGGCAAGTAGGTCTGCTGAGTGATGATAAAATAAAACAGGCTTACACAGTGTTTATAGTTTAATTATGAGAAATGCAAATGTGAGCCAAACATCACCATTTTAATGAATAAAACAAAAAAATAAATAACAAATCAATAAAAATACAACACATAACAATGCATATTTTAAAAAAACACAAACTGGTTTGGCAGCAGTCCCACTGTTCTTGTTGAACTGCTGTGTTTGTGCCTGCATAACTGAGCAGTAGATCACCACAGAGCATCTGTCAGTACATTAATAACCTAATTATTAAAGTCCCACAGCAAAGTGCAAGAGACCAAGCAGCTCACTGTGGTTTAAAATACAACAGGTCAAAAACCCCAAAAAACTACAGCACCTTTATTTGCTCATCAGCTTCTACCTGAGAGGGCAGTGTTTGCCAGGGCAGCCAGACTGTCACAAGTCTGTGAGGCACACGCTGGAAGACGTCTCAAGATAGACGCAACCTCTGAGCCCTGAACGAGACCGTCCGCCTCGCAGATTCATCACGAGGCTTCGACTCCTCTCAGACTCGGCCGTCTGGAGTCGAGTCTCACCGAGAAGCGAGTCCCACAGCAGACCTCTGCTGTATATCTGTCAATACACAGGAAGCCAATTAGCCCTGTGTGTTTGTGTGCTGCGTGAGAGGGAACAGGAATGTGCCAAACCTCAACAGAGATGTCTGTGTTGGGGTATCTCCTGTAGAAGATGGTTCTCAGGTTGAATTCAGGGTTTCCGCTCTCCTTGAACACCCGCGTCCTCACGTTGTCATTCTCACATCTCACTACAGCGTAAACATCGGGGGCTGTGGAACAAAATCCAGCACGGTGTAAAGAAAGAAAGAAAGAAAACACCAAGGGAGATATGTGCAATAATTAAGAGTCTGCCCAAATATGAGTCTTTCATTTTGCAGTCACCTGTTTGTTTGGGAGGGCGGAGTCCTGACGCCCTGTGTAGATAAACTGTGGTCACCACTGTGGGCTGAGGTAGAAAACAGTGGAGCACAGAGGGAGACGGTAAGTCCTCCCTCAGTTCCCTTCATGGAAAAAAGAAATAACTAAATTAAACGCAGAGGACTGGGAATAGTGAAGGGAAAAAGAGATTTTTTCTGTTAAAGTGGAAAAAATTAAATGTAAGAAATAATATAAAATTTATGATGCTAATAGTGGTTTCATATTGATTTTTATAATTTATCAAAAAAATGTCTATGTCATATTTACTGTTTGTTTGTTTTTTGTTTTTTTCTCTGTTCCGCGGAAGGACAAAACCACCAAAATGAAAATTATTTGAATTATAAATACAAAAATAATTAATAAATAAATAAATATACTTTATGAGTAAATAAATATTAAAACTGTTCCATTACTTAATTTAAAAAATGTCATTTACATTTATTTTTCTGTTACTTCCTAAATCTTTCCTGTATTATTTAATTTTGTATTTATTCACCTGATTATTAACTACTTGATTTTTTATTTTATTTTTAGTAATTTTAAAATTTTCATGTAAATTAGTTGAACATCTGTAAAGATCTCCTGAGTAAAAGCAACAATATCTGTTTTTACTGAGATCAATCATCCCACCCTCTCCGTGAATCGCTACCTTATCGTGGTGGAGGGGTTTGTGTGTCCCAGGGATCCCAGGGGCTATGTTGTCTGGGGGCTTTTGCCCCCTGGTAGGGTCTCCCATGGCAAATTGGTCCTGGGTGAGGGACCAGACAAAGAGCGATTCAGAAGACCCTTATGAAGAGAACATTGAGGGAACAGTTTACCCTGATAGGGTTAACGGGGCCCCGCCCTGGAGCCAGGCCCGGGGAGGGTGCCCGAGGGTGAGCGTCTGGTGGCTGGGCCTTAGTCCATGGGACCCAGCCGGGCACAGCCCGAAGAGGAGACATGGGCCCATCCTCCCGCAGGCCCACCACCCACAGGAGGCGCCACAGGGGTTGGGTGCATTGTGTGCCGGGTGGCGGCCAGGAGAGGAGGCCTTGGCAATAGGGACATGGAATGTCACCTCTCTGGTGGGGAAGGAGCCTGAGTTAGTGCGTGAGGTTGAGAGGTACCGGCTAGATATAGTCGGGCTCACCTCTACGCATGGCTTGAGCTCTGGAACC